GGGGAGCGCTGCGACAAGGGCAAATGGAAGCCAAAGTGCTACTTGTACGAAGGGCCGCACATATTGCGACATTGCCCAAACAAGAAGACCATGAGCGCCCTTGTGAAGGATAAGGGCAAGGGCAAGGTGGACGATGCGGGCAGCGACGAAGATAGGTGCATAGGAGCTATGCAGATGCTAAGTAGCATGGCGCATGACACCAAGAAGAAAGCAAGGTGAAGAAGGTAGCCGGGGTGCGCTATGTGGATGTGCAGGTTGGTGGCAAAGCCATGCAAGCGTTGGTGGACACAGGCGCCACACACAACTTCATTACCCCGAAGGAGGCGCAGCGACTTGGCTTAGAGATGCGCAAGACGGAGGGCTGGATCAAGGCCGTCAACTCCGAGGAGGCACGCATTAGCAGAGTGTGCAAGGAGGTGGATCTATGCATGCAAGGGTGGAAGGGCAAGGCCGACTTCCAGGTTGCGGAAATGGACGACCACGACATGGTGCTGGGGCTAGAGTTCATGGACAGGAACAATGCCGCGCCACTACCATGCCTTGGTGCATTGATGATACTTGGAGGCGAAGAAGGCAAGGCCGCGTGCATGGTGCCGCTCGTCAGCAGGAAGGGGAGTCCAGAGGTGGCAGTCAACACAATGGAGCTCGTGAGCACCTCACATCTCCCGAAGGGCGCGCGTACGTTTGGGCCAAGGACATATGCGCAAGTGCTGATGACCTGCAAGAGGCTAGGTCAGCTGAAGAAATCGTGTGACGAGGGCGTCACGAAAATGGGTGGGGGAGAATGTCACACCCCGCCTATGGAGGTTACGCCACGCAGGCGACACGCAAGCGCTGAGTAAGACGCTGCATAGCAACTGCATGGCAAGTGAGTTTCTAGAGTCTTCCAAAATTGTCTAGTGTTGTGTGGAAGATTCTAGTTATGTGTAGTATATTCTAGAGTTCTCCAGAATTGTGTGAAGTAGTATGGAGAATTCTAAAATGTTGTAGATACTTGTAGATAAGTATGGAAGTGTGAAAAAGGTGGGAGAAGATTCTTAAGAATCGATCTCCACCATCGGTTAAAATGCATCCTAGCCGTCCATTAGGGATGGGGATGCCTATAAATAGAGGTAGGACTTCATTTTGTAGGCAACAAGTCCTAGAGTGAGTCTTGAGAGCCTTGTAGAGAGTTGGAGTGATAGCCTTGTACAAAGCATTCTTTGAAGTAATAGAAGTGTTATTTCCTTGCCAACTTAAGTGCCTTAGTGTGTGTGAGTGTGCAAGCCAAGTGAGGAGAGGGCGAGGGTCACTACAACACTAGTAAGCGCACGAGAGGAATGTGTTGGCTAAGGTGTGCACAGGATTTAGGTTGGCCAAGTACTTGCAAGAGTAGAAGCAACAGCTTGGTGCCGCACGGGAATAGCTAGAGTGGTGCTGAAACTCTAAGCCTAGGAATGGCAAAATCCCCATACCCGGCGAGTCCCCGCCCCACCCCGCCCTTGTTATAGCGGGTTTGTGAACCCATTTATGTAAATGGGAAGGGGATGGGGATTGTATTTGAAACCCCGGCGGGGGACAGGGCAGGGCTGGGGGAGGGTAACCCCGCCCCTCCCCGCCCCGTTTATAGTGCATTTTTAAAAAACTGCCCTTACATGTTATAAAATATTACTAAATTACATAACTATATATATAATATATTCACTTTTGAAACCCTAGATCTATTCCCTCGCAGCATAGTCATTGTTGGAAGATTGTTATTTGTTTTGATTGATCATGTTGAAAATTTCCAGACTATTCCAAAAAATATTATATGTGGTTTTGCTATGAGTTTGATCGGGTTGAAATGATATGTTTTAAATTGTTATAATTGTGCTAAAACTTTGTTAAATTAATAGGTTGAAAAATATTATAGTTGTGTTGATTTTGTTGAAGGTGAATTAAAATTTTAAAAAAGTTATGACGGGCGGGGTGGGGCGGGGATGGGGGCTAATGTGGCAGAGCGGGGCAGGGACGGGGGAAGGGGTTAAAATTTAAACGGATATGGGGGCGGGGATGGGCGCCCCCCGGGCTAATGTGGCAGAGCGGGGCGGGGACGGGGGAAGGGGTTAAAATTTAAACGGATATGGGGGCGGGGATGCCCCCCCCCCCCCCCAAACTGTTATCCTTATCTAAGCCCGTGACAACGTGCTTACCAAGAATTTTGGCCAAAAGTCCAACTAGTGGGACCTATCAAATCACGAATATCTCTTTCTTTCTCATTTTTCACGGTTGGCTGGCTGCCTGCTATCTCCATTAGACAACACACCACCAAACAAATATAACTAAAACTAAGCCAAATCAAACCAAATCTCCCTCTTCGTGCATCTCGCACAAAACCACTAGAATCTCTGACTAAAATTAAGAAATATAACTTAATTAAAAATTTTAAAAATTCGAGTAATCACACAATTGGTGTCCAATACGTAAATTTTTACTAACATAATTGGATAAAGTTGAATTTTTAGTAAGTTATACTGATATTTATTGAATTTTTTAAGATCATATCACACAAGTAATGACTTATTAATGAATTCTAAATCACTATTGTTGACTTTGAGGGAAAAAAAATAATTATTATTGTTGTTAAAAATTCTTGATATTATACTTTTTACGAAATTAATAAATAAAAATAAACTCAATCATGAAATAAATGAAGACTCCTGAGACATACCATATATATATAACATGTAAAAAACAAAATATAAAAATTAAAATAAATTTGAAAAGCATATGGTTACTTTTTTATATGAGAGATTTTATGATCAATTTTTATTATGTGTCTACAAGAATTAATATAGAATGGAAATATATAGTTTAACATAGATTCTTGCCATCCTACTCAACCAAGAGATAGTTAAATATTATACTTGTTCTATAGTTATGTTTTTTTTTCTTTTTCTTTTTCTTTTTCACATGCAATATGAGGAAATAGATGTGAACAGGCCACTCCCGTCTGAAATAATTAGAATTATTTCCATTATGGTATAAACATCCACTCTAATAAGTAGGAACTGTGTAACCGAAAAAGGAAAAAATAATAATAATAATAATAACTCAAATATAAGGCACCCTTTATTTTATTAGAAATAGTACTCCCTCCCTCCTACAAGGAGTGTCATGTATTGGAACTGTGACTAACAGCCACTCTAATAAGTAGGAACTGTGTAACCAAAAAAGGAAATAATAATAATAATAATAATAACTCAAAGTCACAGTTCCCAATACATGACAAAATAGCCTGTGAACTATAAAAAAGAGCAAGTCAGTACCAGTAGTTTGAAAAGTGAGCAACTTACCTCTGGACATGACATCCGGCCACTTTCCGTCCAACCGGTGAAATGTTCTGTAATCTAAAAATTGCTCTCCAATGTGACCGTTATACCCTTTCCCTATAAAAGGCTTTTCCACTCCTGATCACAATTCCCAATACATGACACTCTTTATGGGACGAAGGGAGTTCCAATCAAAAAAAAAAAAAATTTGAATTTTCACGATATTGATATTGGCAAAATAGCCTGTGAACTACAAAAAAGAACAAGTCAGTACCAGCAATAGTTTGAAACGTGACCAACTTACCTCTGGACATGACATCCGGCCACTTTCCGTCCAACCGGTGAAATGTCATGTAATCTCAAAATTGCTTTCCCTATAAAAGGCTTTTCCACCCCTTTGTTCAGTCAAAACCACATATAAAGTCAGTTTAAATGTGTGTGTGTATATATATATATCATATATGTATTTGCTGGAGCATATACATGTTCATGTGCATATAACATGTCTAATTTAGAAATAGTTAATCAACAAGACCTTAAGGAACAGCGAAGCAATGAAACAGACGAAAGAAATATAATTTTACATATTGTGTGAAGGACAACCATTACTCGTCAAAACAAACCAACCATAGAGCAGTAACTACATTGCCCTAAATAATTCCATAAACCAACAAGTTTATGTGGTGATGGTTCATTATAGTAGATAGAGAACCAGGTCATATAATGGTCTGCCTCATTTGTCATCAAAAACATATATTCAATTAAATGAGCTCAAAAGTAACAGCTAAAACAAGACAGTTAAACAAATAGTACATAAAAGAATATGGTCCATATCATTCATGGAGACAAATCATCGAACAGATGGTGTGCGTGCCAACAAAGACAGGGTTCGTGCCATGGACGATTGGAGTCTTGAAGCAAATGTCGAAGATGCTGCGCATATACACAGCGTGTAGTCCCATCTTAAGAACCACCAGACATCTCTCTCCTCTTCGACCACTTCTTTCTCTCTCTACTAATAAGTTTATATATATATAGTTTAAACATTTTCAAGCATTAGATTCAATCATGCATTTAATTCTAAAGCGAACTGCTACTCAAATATACACTCATCCTAAATGAGAAATGCGATATTTAGACTACATCAGACTAATGGTATCCAGTATTTATTATTATTATTATTATTATTATATATATATATATATATTTTTTTTAAGAGCACATGGGCTCGACAACACACAATGAACTTCAAGAATTTACCTTCAAATTTCTTACATTTGAAAATAATAATAATAATAATAAACAATAAAATGGACCAACCATAAAATGGTCGGACTTGTAGCATACACAGGGTAAAAAAAAAAATGGGTAAAGTATAGTCACACCTTTGAGATTTGACAAAAAGATACTCAAATGAAACTTATTTTTTGGACAAAGACACCCTGAAGGTTCAAAAATGAACAAAGACACCCTTTTATATGAGAAACTGACCAAATTATCCTCTGATCGTTTAGGAGACTTTGTTAACTTTACAATTTAATAAATTGGACCAATCTACCCTAATGAACAATTTATGCATAAAGAAAAGTAATCAAAAAAAAAAATTTGTTATTTACTTTATAAATGTCCCAACTTCTTAAAAATATAGACGATTTTTTGCTCCAATACATATATTTCAAATAAATTATATCTTGTTATTACTTCTTTTCTTTTTTTTTTAAATTAAGATGCTTAATTCTTTCATCTAAAAAAATTAAACCTGAGCCAACACGAGAAATGCATGGTTCATCCCAATCCTGAGCCACGTCCACAGACCACACCAAACAAATTCACTATAAAAAAAATTAAGAATTACAATGAAAATTTTGCTCTCAATCTCTCTTGCTCTCTCTCTCTCTCTCGGCCAAAATATCATCTTCCACTCTTGAGTCTTGACACATCTAGGGTTGCTCCAATATATATTAGAAAACAATTTGTCCAACAAGTGTAAGCCTTTGAAGCATCCAAAACAGATAAGGAACTGATTTCCGCACATAACAACAAAGTGCGACCAATTGCAATTCACGGATCTCCCGTTGTGACCTTCACTGCCAAAGTGCAACCGGTCCAACTTAAGAACGACCGGTTCTACTTCTTCATAAGTGCAATCGGTGCCAAAAGAAGTGCGACTGGTAGAATTTTTCCATAATGTAATCCAAGAGTCATTTAGCCTCCACAACCTCAACAAATAAAGTAACAAGCTATTTAACTTATAAGTTCAGAGTCAATTTAAAAATAACCGACTCTTTTGTGTTTGGTTAAAATGGGAACAAGAACTCTAATATACAGATAAATTGGGGGATGTCTCAAGTGTACCAGGCTGAAGTAAATACTTCAATTACCCAAAGAAGAATGAAGCTCTAAGTAGTTTACAATGCATGTGCAAGTGGAGCTTCCTGATCTTCCCTGTGGTCCAAACTGGCATGCAGGTTGTCAAAGTGAAATAGCTGCTGATCAACCAAGCTACAGGAAGAACCCGAGCGAGTACATGTCAGTGATCTCTCAATATCACTTATTTCTGCTATAAAGGATAGTGGGCGATCTGGATTCTGAGCAACCATAGCATGGTTACCTTCCAGTATCTTTACAATCTGTTCCATATTTGGCCTAGCATATAACTGCGGATGAGTGCACAGAACAGCAATCAGAACATAATTTTCCATTACTTCAGGCGAGCCCAACTCAGGAATACTTTTATTGATAACATCCATCGCTCTACCCTCCCTCACTTGTGACCAGGCCCAATCTGTCAAAAGCTGAGCATGACCACCATCAACAGACAAAACAGCATTTTTCCCACTCAACAGCTCAAGAAGCACTACCCCAAAACTGAATACATCACTTCTCTCTGTTAATTGCCCATACAAAGCATATTCCGGGGCAACATAACCAAGGGTTCCAGCCACTTTAGTACTCAAATGTGACAATCCATCTAGAGTGAACTTTGCCAAGCCAAAATCTGCAAGTTTTGGTTCAAATGTCTCATCCAAAAGTATGTTACTGGCTTTAACATCTCTATGGATGATAATTGGCTGAGCAGCATTGTGCAAATAAGCCAATCCGCGTGCTGTTCCAAGTGCAATCTTTCTACGAATCGGCCAACTAAGCCTTGTTTCCTGTGATCCAAAAAGATGGTCATAGAGGCTTCCACTACGCATCAAATCACACACTATTATTCTCTGGTGCCCTTCCAGAGGATCCGTTGCCGTGCAATACCCTCTGAATGCAACAAGGTTAACATGCCTAACACTGGCAATCACCTCTACTTCATGCGTAAACACTGCATCCCCAGAAATAGAACAATTTTTGAACCTTTTCAATGCAACTTCAGACCCATCTGCTAATATGCCTCTATAAACATTCCCATATCCTCCTCTTCCAATTAGATTCCCCCTAGAGAAATTTCTAGTAGCCTCTTTCATTTCCTCAATTGTGAACTTGACCAAGCCAATACTTTCACCAATCAGTCCCAAACCTAAAGCTGAACTTATCGCGCTTCTATCAACATGTTCTTTCTTCGTCCTCCTTTGCTTGTGCCTTCTCCAAAGAAACCATACCACAGCAATTGCCGCCGGGAAGCCAATAACACATCCTATCACAACCCCTCCAAACAAAGTCTTGTGCTTCTTGGTACTTTTATAAGCTGAAGTGAGATCAATGGAGAACAAACACTTGGCAGTCGCTAAATCAGTCGGCCCAAACTGGTTAGCAAAAGCTGCAGCATACATGAATGGGTACCCAATACAATCTGTGACATTCTCAATTCCAGTGGCATGAAAATAGGCCTCTTGAATACTTGACAAGCTAGCTACACACGACGCGCAAGATGAATTGTCCCCAAGGGATTGATTGCATGAATGCCTAATTTCTTGCAATTTGGGTTCAGAAATTAAGGCTTCAAACTCTGCCTTAGTTGAGATATTCATACAGGTATTTGAAATCCAACCAGTTTGAACCCCACAATTGGATCTCACGTCAAACCCTCCAAGGCGTTCGTTAATGAAGATCTGAAATGAATCCCAACAAGAATCAGAGGCGTTAGGAGGCATAGTAAAAAAGCCAGTGCTTCGAAGGTACTGGGATCGAACTATGCGAAATGCTTCAAGAAGAACAAAGCACTCTGTTGGTACATCAGTAAACTTTTGGTTCAGTCCCGAGGGGCTATTCTTGACCATTTCTCTAAGACCATCAAAGTTCAATGGACAAAGAGAAAGACCAGCTAGTTTTCTTGGTTTTAAAGCATTGCCAGCAGATTCAGAATAGCTAATGCTGGAAAACCCAACACTAAATCCAAGGAACATAAACAAAAATAGGGACATTTTGAGTTCTAGAGATTTCAGACGATATTTGGTCCAGAAACCATATATATAAATATATATATATATATATTTTCTTTCAATTGATTATAAATTGTATTTTGTGTTTTGGCAGTTGAATTATTGGAGGGAAGCAACTTGGCAGCTGACCGTCAACTGAGTGCGATTGCTGAATTTCTTGAGTGTGATTGCTGGAACTTGGAAGTTGGACCAAATAAATAATTTCTCTTTGTCACTACCTGAAAATTCTAACAAAACCATCAATTCATTCACATATAAATACATTACTATACTCCCATTATCATAAAACTTACCCTCAAATATACACAAAAATCAATTTTCTCAAATATATACAAAAATTTTTCAAATAAATAAATAAAATCTCGCAACGCAAACTCTTCCACCTAAGCCTAAAACTAACAATCCACGTTTATCTTCAGTACCTAAAACTGAAGGGTGGCGAGGCGAAAAGTCTCAATAGAAAAAATCATAACAAGAATTTTATAAAAATTTAATAAAACAACTTCACCAAATATACATATTCAGGTGAATATATAAACAAAATACATATGTATTTAATTAAAACATACATATGATGATATGTATTTAATTCAAACATTTAATAAAACTATTTGAAGCAAAACTACCCGAGCCATTCAAGGTATATAAAAAATCCTACACTCAAAAAGAATTTTTCTCACTGAATCGTCAAAGCCTCAAGTTCCGGCCTCCTCTGCAAACTCTCGGACCTCTCTGTCCTCTCTCGACTCACTCTGTCTTTCAGGCAAATTGTATCAACACAATTCACTCAGCACAATAAACCATTATCAAATCAAATGGTAAAAGTTCAAGAAATTATCACAGTGGACCCCGCCACCTCATCCTTCTCTTCTTCTCTCTTTAAATTGGCACCTGTTCCCTTCCTTTTTGTCAGAACAAATATATATACACACACATATGCACATACTTTTCAAATTCATTTTGCCTTCTTTACTCTACCAACAAACAAAACATAATAAGAGTATTCCTTCCTCCGTCTCATATTAATTATTTAATTTAAAAATTTTGATTTGTTATTATTTTTATTTTTAAATTATTTAGTATTATTTTTAATTATATTTTTTTTATATATTTATATATTATCTATATCTCATATTAAATATTTACTTTAATAACTTTGTCTTTAAAAATTTTGAGAGAACAAATAATATGAAACGAAAGTAATCTAAATTGTATCGACACACTTCAGGTAGAAATTATCTGGACACAATTCACGAAAGTAATCTAAATTGTAAGCAATAGTCATCACGTTCCATTACTTTCTACGCCATCAAAGAAAAACATGGCCACCACGTGCTTACCAAGAATTTTGGCCAAAAGTCCAACTAGTGGGACCTATCAAATCCCGAATATCTCTCTCTTTCTCATTTTTCACGGTTGGCTGGCTGCCTGCCATCTCCATTAGACAACACACCACCACACAAATGTAACTAAAACTAAGCCAAATCAAACCAAATCTCCCTGCACATAACCACTATAATCTCTGACTAAAAAATAAGAAATATAACTTAAATAAAAATTTTACTAATTCACACTTCGTGTCCGATACGTAAATTTTTACTAACATAATTGGATAAAGTTGAATTTTTAGTAAGTTATACTGATATTTATTGAATTTTTTAAGATCATATCACACAAGTAATGACTTATTAAGGAATTCTAAATCACTATTTTTTGACTTTCAGGGAAAAAAAATTATTATTATTATTGTTAAAAATTGTTGATATTATACTTTTTACAAAATTAATAAATAAAAATAAACTCAATCATGAAATAAATGAAGACTCGTGAGACATACCATATATATATATAACATGTAAAAAACAAAATACAAAAATTAAAATAAATTTGAAAATTAAAATAAATTAGAAAAGCATATGGTTACTTTTTTATATGAGATTTTATGATCAATTTTTATTATGTGTCTACAATAATTAATATAGAATGGAATATATAGTTTAACATATATTCTTGCCATCCTACTCAACCAAGAGATAGTTAAATATTATACTTGTTCGATGGTTATGGCTTTTTTTTTTTCTTTTTTTTTTTTCTTTTTCACATGCAATATGAGGAAATATATGTGAATAGGCCACTCCCGTTGCTGTGAAATAATTAGAATTATTTCCAGTATGGTATAAACAGCCACTCTAATAAGTAGGAACTGAAAAGGAAATAATAATAATAACTCAAATAAGGCACCCTTTATTTGATGAGAAATAGAACCAATCAAAGAAGAAAAAAAAGGCAAGTGCAAAAAAAAAAAAAAAAAAAAAAAAAAAACTACTGAACTTTCATGATATTGGCAAAAGTCCAACCGGTGAAATGTTCTATAATCCCAAAATTATTCTCCAATGTGACCGTTATACCCTTTCCCTATAAAAGGCTTTTCCACCCCTTTGTTCAATCAAAACCATATATAAAGTCAGTTTAAATGTGTGTGTGTGTGTATCATAAATGTATTTGCTGGAGCATATACATGTTCTTGTGCATATAACGTGTCTAATTTAGAAATACTTAATCAACAAGACCCTAAGGAACAGCGAAGCAATGAAACAGACAAAAGAAATATAATTTTACATATTGTGTGAAGGACAACCATTACTCGTCAAAACAAAACCAACCGACAAGTTTATGTGGTGATGGTTCATTATAGTAGATAGAGAACCAGGTCATATAATGGTCTGCCTCATTTGTCATAAAAAACATATATTCAATTAAATGAGCTCAAAAGTAACAGCTAAAACAAGACAGTTAAACAAATAGTACATAAAAGAATATGGTCCATATAATTCATTGAGACAAATCATCGAACAGATGGTGTGCGTGCCAACAAAGATAGGGTTCATGCCATGGACGATTTGAGTCTTGAAGCAAATGTCGAAGATGCTGCGCATATACACGGCGTGTAGTCCCATCCCAAGAACCACCAGCCATCTGTCTCCTCTTCGACCACTTCTTTCTCTCTCTTCTAATAAGTTTATATATATATGTATACCTAGTCTAAACATTTTCAAGCACTAGAGCAAGTCCAATGGTCCAAAATCCAGCGATTTTGGGCCAAATTCTGCAATTAGACTCCTCCAATGGAGTCGCCAGAAATTGGGCCCCATTCATTGGGTCGGGGAATGGATCGCTGAAAGTAGCTACCCCTTTAGCGATTCGCAAGCCTGCCCGGCAGGCCCGCATCAGTTTTCTTTTATTTTTTTAATTCTGGCCAAACAATGTTTTAGCCCAGAACACTATTCCTAAGGGCATGTTTGTCTGGAAAAAAAAAAAAAAAACAGATTTTTGGCTTCTTTTTTTTTTTTCCTTAAAATTATTAAACCAAAGAGTCGTTAAAAAAAGTATTAAAAAAATAGAGAAAAATGCTTTTTTTTGAAAAATTTACTTTTAACCCAAACAGTGCTTTAACGACTATATTGACACAAAAACCAATTTTTTGAATTTATTTTTTAAAAAAATAATTTTATTTATTTATTTAAAAAAAAAAAACCATTCATTTTTTCTCTATAAATACATCAACCCTTACTATTATTCTCCTCATATCCAACCTATCTTCTCTAGTCTTCAACCTACAACTACAACCATTAAGTCATTTTTTCAATCTTTTAGTTATATTTTTTACTCAAATTTAATCCAACGGATCCTCCACCACCATATTACAACTGCAACTCCTAATTCAACCAATCAAATGATAATTTTGACCTGTTCTTATTTGTTGGAGAAGAATCTCAATTTGTTGGAGAAGAATCTCAATTTCTGTCTCATCAACCTTATCAAGTTTCCAACAGTCCTACTGAAGTGGCACAATCCAGTGACTCCTAACCTCCCAGAAAGCAAAGGGCTATTCGGCCTCCTAATTAGTCCACGGTTGAAGATGAGACTTTATGTTATGCGTGGTTGGCCATTAGCACTGATGCGGTTATCAGCTCAGACCAATAAAAGACAGCGTTATGGATCCGAATTCAAGAAAGTTTTGAGCAACACGTTAGTGGTGTTGGTACACCCAAAAGAAATCATATCGCCTACTTGAATCATTGGTCAATCATGCAACAAATTATTACCAAATTTTCTAGATGCATGGCCTAGATCGAAATGAATTATTCTAGTGAGCAAGACAATGAGTACAAGGTAAGTTATTTATTATATTAAATTTAATTGGTAGACATTTTAAAGATTTGCCCTCTAATAATTTTTTATTTTTATTTTTTTAGATGATAGCAGCCAAAGAGTTATTCACTTATCAAAATAACAGCCAAAGAAGAGGAGTGAAATCCACATTGATGATAGTGAGCCTATTGGTCACTCAAACCCATTTACTCCATCAAGTAATGCAGCAGCGACACCAAATACAGTTGAAAGATCAGCGCACATAGGCAAAAATGATCCGACGAATGTTGAAGAATGTCAGCGACAAGAAGGACAAAAAGCAGCAAAGCAGAGGCGAAATAAGGATAAAAGACAATCTGAAAGTCAGAATGATTTCATTAGCAAATTCGATCATGCAACAGCCTTTTATTAAAGACAATCTGAAACTCTTGAGGCCGCTCCAATAGCACAAGAGGCACGCAAAGGAGATAAAGAAAAAACCAGACAACTCAAGCTTCAAAGCAAACTAAGAGAGATTGAAAACAAACAAAGAGCTGAAAAGATGTTAATCATGCAAAAAGATTCAGAATCGATGCCCACACAAATCGGGAAAACATGGCTAATTGAACGCCAAAATGAAATATTAGCATCTATACGCGCACGCGGTAACTTAAGCTTTCCATAGGATTATCTCGAACATTCCATATGATTGTTCGGTTTTTCCTAGTTGTTATGTTTTTAATTCATGTGATATTGTATTATTTTTTATTTTTATCGTATTATTTAAATTTATGTTGTATAGTATTATTTTTAATAATAAATAGTGTATTGTTTAAATTTTTTGTATGATATAGCCATTTTAAAAATATAGCTGTTA